ATTAAAACGTACCAGGGATCCCGTTCAAACAGAATAAAGGAGGAGGTCCCCTCTGCTGGGCTCCTGGTCCTGCCCAGAAGTGGCCACTCAAGAAGGGAAGGAGGGCTCCTCGCCTGCCGTGTCCCTCCAGCACCGGTGGTGCCCGGGGCTGGAGACTGGCTGAAAACACAGGGTTTCATTTTCTCCCCAAGCCAACTAATTAGATGAAAGCCACTGATACATGCAGGGCTTCAGAAGGAGTCTTTGATGAATTAGTTATTTATCCTGTCTCATCCCCCCTGTGCGCCGCTGCAATGTATCACCCCCCTGGACTGTGGGAATGCACCTTCCGAGCCAGATCCCGGCGCCTTTCATCACCGAAAGCTGAACTTCATTCTGGGAAGGTTCCCAGTGAAATCAATTAGGTTTTGTGTGGATCAAGGTGCTGCTGAACATGATTGCAGGTACCAGAGCCTGGCTCTGGGTGACCACAGCATCTGCTCCGACCCTGCCGGAGCTTCCCAGCGCCGGGTGAGGAAAACAGGCTGGCACTGCACTGAGGTGGAACGGTAAAATAGCTCCAGTGTTTGGAGCTGCCAACTATCAGGCCTATAATATATGTCCTAAAGCAGTCAAAAGAGTTTTTATGAGTGCAAAAATATTAACAAATCGTTGGTTATTTAAAGGGAATCATTTAGGGCTCATCTGGCTAATGAGGAAGAAAAAAATGGAGCTGAATGTTTCTTCTCTGTTGTAGGGAGACGTATGAGATCAGCTGTTGTAGGAAGCTATCAGTGAACACACCTCGTTAGCTCCCTTGTGTAAAACTCCTTATCTGCCTCTTATTAGTCTTTCATTAATTAAAGCTACAGAATTCAGTATTTTTTGTTAGCTGTTCCCTTAGCATGAAACTCAGCTAATTCTTCTACTGTTGGAAACAAAGCTCCAAGATTGAAGTTTATTCTTATGGTGTTCTTTCAGTTATTTATTTCACATTGCTGTCATGCATGGATGAATTTATATGATGCTCTGATGACCTTTAGAAATTCCTCTGATTAAATGCTGTTCTACTTCATTATGACATTTCTGTACTTGTACTACCCGATTTGATGTGTACAGCTTAATAACACAACCAGACATGAATGCTAATAACTTTACAATTCATTGCATTGCTATTTTTTAATGTAGATGAATTTTAAAACAAGTTTCTCTTGCTGCAGGCTTACATGAATCATATAAATTAGAAGGTAACAAAAGAACATATTAGCATTTGTTAGCCTGGATGCACAAATTTTGTAGTAACCATTTTAATATGTACTACAACTTTTCCAGCCTCAAGTTTAATATGTACTACAACTTTTCACCCTCGATTTTTCAACCAACATCATAATTGAATTGGTTTCCTTCTTGCCTAAGGATAATGATTTTACACTGATGGAATCATTATTAGATTCTAAGGATTATACTGATGATGCCTGTTTTACATAGAGCTAAAAAAATTAAAATTATTCAACTGTAAAATACTCCTTTACACAAAGGCTATGTAAGTTGGAGATAAATGAACTAATTATTGTGTTTAGAGTTGTTGTTAATATCCAGCATCCATAACTGGAGCAAACTTCTTGCTGTAGCTCTGTGCAGGGGGCTTTTGAAACCCCCACCCCATCGCTTGTCCTTGAAGTCCGGCAGGTGGTGAGTTGCTGTCGTGGAGCTGATGCTGTGCAAGCATGTGTTCATCGAGGCAGGAGATGGCTTCCTGCAGATCTCCACAGAAACTGCTCAAAAAGCTCCTCATCTACAGGCACAGCCTCCAGCAGTGGGATGAGAAGCAAGAGGAAAGGCGGAAGGTGGCAAAAGAGAAGGCATTACTTAGGGAAGAAGCATCTTTACTGGTATGGATCTGGTTATCGGTTCAGTCTGGGTTTGGAAGACGTGTCCGTGTTCCATCACACCTTCCTAAGGGGTAAAACAATGTTTGAACTGGTCCAGAGTAAGTGAGAACCGGCTCACCTGCATCCACCACTTCTGTCTGCACATCTGAGCACTGCTCCTGGGATAGAGGGAGGGAAGAATAGCCCAGGTTAAGCATAAATGATGAATTTCTGCTATCCTGAAAACCGTCAACATTTCATGGGTAATTACACTTCAGGCTGCAGAAATAGCTGTTGAATTAATTGATTTTACAGTCACATCCTGAGGTGCTGAGTGGGTGTTGGTCTGTGTGGATGTGTCAAAATAACACCTTCAAAAGTCTCAGGGGTGGAAGACATTTACCTCTGTCTGTTGAGTAATCAGCAATTAGAATACAATATAAATATCTACAACCTTTCAGCTGAAAAAACAGGAAGAAAAACTTTATTATTGCCTTTAAACATTTTAAACTTTTTTTGCAATTTTTACTTGTCAAATATAGAAGTATCTGGAGCTGAAATTAAGCAAGTATAGCCCCTCTTCCTCTGACTTTTTCAAGCTGGAGGTTAACCTCAATTAAAAAAAAATTAAAATAACGTTTCTTTAAGCATCTATTTTAAATCATTTTAAATCATAGGTGAGAGACCAGTCAGCATAAATACAATGGACTGCTCTTGTGCATGATTTTTAAAAGCCTTTGTGCTTCATTACTGCAGCTGGATGTCACCTCTGAGGTCAGGGAACATGATTACTTCCCCACACTTAAGCTTCAGTCAGTTTTATTCACTACAAAAACAAGAGTAAGGAGCTGCACCAGTTGTAAACTTGCACTTACTCCACTAATTGTGTATAGAGTGATCAATATATGGAATCAAATTCCATGTCCGTGGTGCATTAAGACATTATCAAACTCCTGTGCTTCTCAGCTGCTTTAATATGGCTCGAGGTACAGCACAGAGCTCCCCTTGTATGCGGTTCAATAGTTTCTTTAATCTGAGATGTAAACTTGTCTTTGAAAGTGAAAAACAAGCTGACCTGAAGGTAATAGACCTGCATTGAATTCATCTCAAACACATGTTAAATTTTCTCGACACCATTACCCTTTTCCTTAGGAAACTTCAGAGTGTTCTTGATTAATAATAAAAATAAGGAAAAACAACCTGTAAAAGCAAACCAGGAGCACTCGGTGGCCCATCTACTTTCAACCTTTTGCTCCTTGTCCTGGGTATTCTCAGCAAAAGAAACAAAATCCCATCAAGCTCTTTTCAGCATTGCACAAGGATTTAGACTATTTCCTATGCTCGGCTCTTTGTAACAACAAAACAAAATAATTAAGGTGATGTTAAATCAAGATGAGAGCAGGAGACAAGATCTCTGGATTCCAAGCCAGGCTCTCTGACTCAATTATTGAACAACTTGTGCTAAGTTGTTTAACCTATTTGCTGCTGCTTCCTTGTCTTTAAGGTGAGGGCACATTAAGTTTTACCTCCCCATGGCATGACTTGCTGTGATTGTTGGTTTGTATTTGTGGGGTGCTTTTGGAACACAACGCTCTGTAACGTGGCAGTGAAGCGTGGCTCTGGCATCCACTTTGGGGTTTCCTTTCTCCCTCAAGCTCGAATTCTTCTAAAACTTGGCCAAACTTCTGTAGCTCTCTAGAGGAAGAGTAAAATTTGTTGTTGCAGTAAGGCTTCATTATAGATGTTTCATCAGGGATCATTTTGTGAAGCAGCTGTCATTGCTGTCGGAGAAGGTGGAGCTGCAGAGAGGCTTTAACTTGAGTTTGGGGGATCATGATGAGGGAGTTGCTGAAGACTTGCCATGTGCTGTAATTAAAGGGCTGCTGTCAGAGGCCAAGCAGGCATAAAAATGTTCCTTCCTCAGCTGCTCTTCCCTCTGGTGAGTTCATCTTAATTTTCAACATTTGATGGAGAATTGAATTTTGAGGTGGAGAAGGGAATGTGTTATCTCAGGGATGCTGTGGTGACTCTGAATGCCCTTTTCTGGGTGTCCAGTGTGTGGAGGCATGGGGGAAAGGAGCTGGGTCCTTGGTCTGTCACCCAATCTCCCAAATTTTTGTAAGGCCTCTCTGGGGAATGTGCTGCCAGCAGAGAGGGCAGGCTGTGCCCCAGTTGTTTGACTTGAACAACCAAACACACTGCACCACCACCAAGGGAATCTTGGACCACAGGCTCAGGCTTGGAGACAGCCTTGTCCCTGGCACAGCTTATCCCAACAGGGGCTGTATCAGGTGTGTCCAGTGGACAGAGCTGTTCCTAAGGACACGTGTCAGCATTGGGCAGATCAAGCTCTTGAGGTGTTTCTGTGCTGCTGGGGCTGTGCTTTGGACATGGATCAGCTGAGCAGTAGCTGGCTGGGATCCTGGGAGCAGCACTTGCAGAGTCCATCCGAGGAGCTGAAGGAATGGCAATGTTTTAGCAATCTCTCCATCCTGCAGGTGTGTGCTCGGGCAGAGAGAGGGCCACCACCAGCCAAAACTAATTTAAAGCTGTGTGGAGCTGACACCAGTTGCTCTCACAGGAGTGACTACAAATAGATATCTCCTGGAGCTCTCTCCCCACCAGGTCAGACCATGCCTTGAATAATCTGGGTGCATTCTGGTGGACTTGGGGTCTCTCTCTTTCCAAAGAACAGGAACATTTACACAAAGACAACCAGAAGAAAATATTTATGCTCCTGTTGTTCTCTTTCTAAACATTTCCTTTGGTGCAAGTGTTAATATTGACAAGTGTGTTTTATAATTTGGGAGCTCACTTTAGGCTGAGATGGTGCATTGGTATTTAATGCACAATGCACATAGTTTAGATGGCATGCATTAATCATATTCCTATTGTCTTTGTTATGGTAATGGGAGAAACAAGCTCTTGGGGTTTTTTTAAAATTAAAAAAAAAAGGAAAATGGGCTTGACTTCTTTTTTTTTTTTTTTTTTAAGATACATTATATTTCAGCAGCTAATGAAGAGGAAATAATGATGAGTCTGCACTATGTTATGTATTAGAGCACTAATTAGACTATAGCAGAACTGCTTACGGGTGTCTTTGAAACACCTGCTTGGTAATTTTCAGCCCCATTTTACTCCCTTTACCAGGGCAGGCGTGATGGGAAGACAGAGTTAAGACTGAAATATGAAACAGAGAACTTAGCACCCTCCAGTTTTGTCTTTTGTTCACCCAGCTTCATATATGCTTAAGACAAGGATAATGTGGATGGTCACTGCAGTGCCCTTTTTGTGGGCTGGGATTTCTATTGCCCATGGTAGGTATAGGGAAAGGACTCAAATATGTTATTTTCTAACTTCCTTGTGACCATAAAAAGGCAATATGGTTTCAGAACAAGAATTCCCAGTTTAGGCTGTCATCTTGCATGTATATTAATCCGGAATATTATGTATTGCATCTCCAACATTTGCTTATCATTGCTTTAGTTTGGAGTGTGTGTTTTCGAGACCATTAAAAGCTGTAAATCTAGAAATAATGTTGGCCTTCATTTTTAAAGCTGTTTTGAAGTTGTCTTCTTTTACTGTCATAAGAAACCACAAATATTCCCACTCTATATCTTATTTGCTTTTACATTTCTGTCAATTATGTAAATAATTGAATTCTAAACATGAATTGCAAATGTGCCCAAAATCACATACCAAGTAGGCTGAGTTCCTACCTCAGCCATGTCTCCCAGCTTACACTGCAGCCAAGCTGGTCATAGGTTGTACAAAATTCACCTGTATTTTATAAGATGCAAACATTGGCTACATATTTTGTAGCCTTTAAACATGATTGTGTTGCCCACACTAATGAGACTGACAGTGACTCCTCAGTATTACCCCATACTGAGTCTCTATGATGATTCAGCTTTTTTTTTTCTCACAGCTTTTTCCAAGGGAAACTTTTCCTGACTGCACCGTTTGTGTGTTGGAGGATGTGGAGCTCTTTGTACCTGAGAGCCCAAATGAGAATTCTAAAGGTGAGCAACTCTGATTCAAAGCTGGTCTAATTTTTCTTTTTTTGATGATAAAAATTTTCAGTGGGTGCACTAAATCCTAAGAGAGTCACATGTTTAAATGCAATATGACAACATTTCTCACAGAATAATGCATTTAAAAGTAAGGGGCAATATTTTCATTAATGGGTATATCAGAATTTTTTTCTCTGTTTTGAAATGTTTGGTGCTACTTGCAGTTTCATAAAACCCCGTTTCAGGTGGTCACTGACAGCTACAGCTGATTTCATCCCACGTGTAAGATCATATATTGCAACCCACACAGAGAGGACAGAGTTGAAAAGGAGAAGAATTCTGGGGAGGTGCAGTTGTACTTGGTAGCATTTGAGTTCCAGAATAGGAACAGATTTATCACCTGCCCAAGGACCAGGTGAGAGGTAAAGAGGTGAATGTAGAGGGGTGAAAAGTAGCATCAGATGCCATAAGCAGGGGTGGATTTGTCTGTTTTGGATCAGACCTCAGCATGGTCTGATCCAGCCCATGGTGCTGTGCTATATGGTAGATGTGTAACTTGGAGGGAGACATTTGGAATCTCTCAAGGTCTTTTGAGGCTGGAGCTCTTGGGTGGCAGAGCAAAACCCTGAGACTTCACAATGCCCAGTGTTGTCCTGAACAGATGCCCCAGGCACTGCAGTAATGGGAGATGCTGCCTTTGAGTAGGAGGTTTACAGGCAGAGATAACAGAAAATTTACTCCAGCATAAGACAAGGGGTTTATCTAGATATACAGCAAGTGTTTAAAAAACCAAACCAAAGCCCTAGGCAATTTTGTGATGCTCATCACCAGGATGAGTGGTGTTCTCTCAGCACACCAGGTGCCTCAGCATCGTCAGTGCTTGTGGAGGCAGCAGAGCAAAGCACAAGTACATTCTTGCAAGGGAGCTGGGAGGCCAAACCCTGAGCCTGTCAAAGCTCCAGGTGAATGTTCTGCCTTGCTAAGCAAGTCTGGTGGCTCAGTGATGCCACTGAATGTCCCCAGTGCCCTGTGTGACGCTGGTGACACCCCTGAGAGCTGCTGCTGTCAGACCTGAGCTCACCCGTCAGTGAAGTGCTGAACAAGTACCTGGAGGATTTCTGAGTGAGGCACACTTGTCTTTAAAATGCTATGCTTCTGAATTTAGGGGCTTTCCTTCAGCTATGTGAGAAACCATGCCAGTACCACGAGGGGAAAGCAGGTGTCTGGAAACAGGTTTTTTTAAATCCCACTACGTGCAGTTGTGCTGGGAAGTCTGGGGGGTTTTGCCTCTGCTCCCAGTGTTGGGGGGTGTGTGTCTCTGTTTGGGGGGATGTGAGACAAGTCTGTCCCCATCTCTTTCTCCCTTGTGACTTCAGAAATTGAAGGCTGCACCTTCAGAGGGGATGGGACCATGTGCCATCTCACCAGAGTCCAGTCCAGAAGGACTGAAATAACCCTCTGGAGGGGTATCCACTGCTTTCTGGGGTTGGATCAGTCTCTCCAGGGGTCCTTCCTACCAGCTCCTCAGTGTATCTCAGGTCAGTCTAAGGATCTTGGCTTCTATTTCTGTTTAACTGCTCACCCATGTCATGAGTATAGTAAGACATGAGCCATATCAATCTAATCATAAACCCAAACAAACCAGCAGTTGTTCGAGTCCTTTATCTCTTGGCAGGCAACAGCAAGCCCTCACCTCTTATCCACTCTGCACACATGGCAATTTTTCTGCAGCCTTCATCAGCACCAGGAATTCAACAGCTGAGACCAACATTTATCTCAGTAAATCCAGCGTGTAGGTCTGCCCCTCTCCTGAATATTCAGATATGCAGCCACATCAGTGCTGCTCGTTTGAAGGCAATGACAAGGGTCATCATTTTATTCTTTATCTCCCGCTTCACCTGCTCCTGAATGCTGAAGGGAAGGAGGAAACAGCGTCCTGGGGAGCTCAGTGGTGTGCATGACAACCTCGCAATGCTCGACTGTTCATCAGGGTGCCATGGGAGGATGAGGAGGAGCAAAGGCACCACTGAGCATACGTGCCCACAGCCCTGGTGGTGCCAGTGAGGTGGTGCTGGTGGGAGGGAGATGATGGGTGTTAGCCCTGCCAGCCCCTCCAGCCACGTGGCATGAAGCCAAAGGGCACAGAAGTGCCTTGTCAGGTAGGAAACCTTCAGCCTGGTCACAAATAAGCTTGATTTCTGAAGATGAGAAAGGTTAAAACTGAGTTCGAACGTCTCAAACTTCCCTCAGGGCTGTGTTTTCTGAAAAGACAGTGGGTCTTGTTCAGCTGCTTTTCACTTACATGCCTAAAAAGATTCAGCTGTCATAGCCCTGACAAGCACTAAAAAGCTCTTGTTAAGGTCACGGGCATCAGAGAAGTGTCTCTCCTACAACATCCCAGTGAACCAGGGCCACTGGCACTGGGAGTGGGGGCTGGTGTCAAGACACTGTTTGGTACAAACAGGACTGTGACCCGGTGTCCTGGCACGGCAGAGCTGCTGCTGTTCCCTCTGCTCTTCCCGAGGGGAGCCGTGTAACACTGCTCCAGCTAAGTGCAAAAAAAACCCAGCAAACCAACAAAAAACCCCTCTAAACATCCCTGACCTTTAAATTCAGGCTGCAGCCAATAGATCTGCTGCTAACCAAAAATCTGAGGTTGCTTTCATGTGTCTTGAGCGTTCAGGGAATAGATGTAGCTTAACATGCAAATGCTGGGCTTCCTGCAGCACGCCGCTGCTTTTCAAGCTCTCTCATTTCATGCTGTTACCTCCATCCCTGCTGTGTCTGTGAAAAGAGCCTCTCTGAGGAAAAGTTTCCCACAGACAGAAATCTGACTGATGTGGTAAAAAAAAACCCAAACCCACAACCAACCACTTATAGTTTAATTTCTAAAATGTGTGGTGTCCATCTGCAACCTGGCAACCGGCATCTTCTCTGCTGCTGGCGTGGAGAGACCAGCCCCTCACTGCCTCAGGGGATGTATTTTATATATTTGTCCTCATCTATTAAGTGAGTAGGTTCTGAAGTTGAGAAGCAGGAGTCCTGTCCTAGCATTGGTGTTCAGAGGAATATTTTCCCCTTGTGAGCAGTGATGCTCCAGTGCCCTTTGGTGTGTTTACCTGTGCACCCATTTTCTTTGTGTTCAAGTTACTGTGCTCACAAAACTTCAGTGTTCTGCACAGATAGAGAAATGGATGTCTCTTGTTCCAGGTAGCAAGGGAAACAGGCTCCAGTTGTGCCAGGAAGGGTTGTCAAACCTTGAAACAGGCTGCTCAGGGGTCACCATCCCTGGGGTGGTGGCACTTGGGAAACATGGTTTAATGGTGGCTTTGGCACTGCTGGGTTAATGGTTGGACTCAATGACCTTGAAAGTCTTTTCAAGACCAAATGATTCCATGATTCTCTGTCCAAACACTTCTTTTATCACTCATAAAGAATGCCTGTAAAGCCCATATACAGCAGCTGTTGGGCAGGTCCCTGCCCTGGAGGGTACAAGGGGAACTCGCCAACAAATAATGTTTATTTGGCACTTCAGATATCTTCCTTGAACCACCTGGGCACCATCATCCTCTTCTGCCTTTAAATCAAAGCACAATGCATTATTGATGGCTGAAATGCAGTAAATGTGTGACATTTCTCTAATACCTTACATTTTTTGTTCTAATTTCAAGTATTTGCCATTCTATGCCACTACCATAAAATTCAACATTTTAAGCATATTGTCCCTCATAGTGCCTGCTTATATTTTTAAGCTTGTCTGGCTATTTTGGCAGTAAGAGACATCATGAATTAGGTAAGCAATTCCTCTCTTTAGGAGCTGGTCCCAGCCCTGTGCTGCCCCGATAAGAGCAGTGAGGCAGGAGCTGCTTTGGGAACAGCAGGACTTGTGTGCCTGCACCTCAGCTGGGCTAGGACCAAAGAACAGAGCACCTGGAGTGTTGGAAATGAATTGAAACCACAGAGAATTGGGGTAAAAAATGAGATCCAAGCCTGATTTGCAGCAATTCAGTCTTGGAGCTGTGGCTGTGACCATGCAACGGGCTGGATGTAATGGGTCCCACTTAGTGAGTTATCTGGGACTAGAAATCATGGTTTCTTCATCTCTAAAAGCTGGGCTTTTATCCCAAATATACAGCTGGGTGTTCAGGTAGGTGTAAGGGAGGATTCTAATCCATGAGGCTTCATGAAAATCAAGAGATATTGGGTTAAAACCCCTTGGGGAGGGACCTGAATCTGACCCACATTTTCTAGCACAAACTCTAGTTAAGTAGAAAAGTGGCCACAAGCAGCAGTATCTTGGTTCTTTCTTGAACTCAAGAGCCCTGTGATGTCCTTGGAGGAAAGGGAGGTGCTGGGAAGCAAAGCCTCACTCCCCATCTCCTTGCCTGGGTTTTTATTAGACTCCACCACGATGTTCCTGTTCAGATTTCAGTACTCTGACCCCTCAGTCACCTTTTTCATATAAACAATCATTATAGAGCAGAATCCTGATGACTGGCAGCAGTTAGTCAGGACAGATGGCCTCTGCCTCTGACAGCTCCAAAACATCACATAAGCCTCATCTTTTCAAGAAGGCCTTTACCAGATGGGTCTAATTTAAAGCATGGCCTTTCTCATTTCTTCCTAAAGGACAGCTAATTAAGTGCAGAATGGATGTCTCTGCTCTTCCCAGGGCAGGAACAAGTGGGTGTTTGATATGGAAACATTTATGGTTTGGTTCCAGCACATCAGTGAGGGGAGATGATGAACTCATTAGAATAAATATCGACAAGTGTATTGAACTTCCCATTTTTTCTGAGTTTACTGGAGCTGCCCCAAGAGAGGCCAGTTCTTGAGCAGCGTCTTGTGAAAAAATGTCTCTAATTTTTTATTGGTCTGCAGTGACCAACCCCAATTTGACTTGTATTATCTCTTATCAGTCTTTTTTTTTACTCTGCTGCCAAAATTTGTGGTCACTGCTGGGGAGCTCAGAGAGTAGCTCAGAAGAGGTTGAAACAAAGCTCTTATCGTGTTTTCCAGGAGCTCCAATCCAGTTGTTTCTGGCTGTTGTTTCCCACTCGATTTTCTGTGGTGGGAAACTTTATTCTCTTTTCCTCTTGTGCGTCAAAATAGCTCTGAGAGATTCTTCTCCTCCAGGCAAGAAACCCTGAAAACTCTGGATCTGTTCAATTAGCTGTACTACAAACTGATTTCCAGCCTTGTCTCTTCTTCTCTTACATGAGCTATTAAATCCCTCCTCTCCTCACCTCCCCAGTTAAACTAAAAATGGCCTAATTTTTTTACATCCTTTTTACAAGCGTGTCTACATGATAGAAAGGAGGAGTTCTGGCTTATCTTGTTATTATGTAAATATTTTTGTGCTTCTAGAACAAAGTTTTTCTTTCCCTTTGATCCAGCTTTCTTGTAGTCAGTTTAACCTCCAGAAAGAGTCAAGATATTGGTGGAGATTGCCACTGGCATTATTCCTGAGGAAAACTGGAGAGAGAAAAGAAAACTCAAAATTACAGCTCATTTAGAAATGGAAGCGAATTAAAGGAAAAGATTGTCTTTCAGTCTTTTTTAAGCAAATTTTTGCTTAAAATATCTGGGACCAGTGTAAAAATAGCATTTACACTGTATTACAAGATGAAAGTGGTTCTTTTCCAGCAACCTGGGAGGTTGCTGTGCCCCAAACTTGTGCTGTGGGTGGGATTTCCAAATTACTGGAATTATTTTTATACTTCCATACTTTTGGAGTTTTAGCTGATTGCTTTGGACTGTGCTGGCAGCAGGGGTAAACAGTCTTCCAAAAAGAAAATTTTAGGACAACTCCAAATTCCCATGAAAAGAAATTGATTCTAGTTTCACCAGTTCCAGAGAGTTATTTATTACTAGAGTTATTTCATGGAGTTATTGTACAGAGTTATATTTTCCAATTATAAAATCAGGACCAAAGCACTAGTGACTAATAGGAGGAAAAGCAGCAAACACTCCCTAGTTAAAAATGTTTAATTACACTTAAAAGTGATTGTACAGAAGATATAATAGTAGAGACTATTTTGGCAGTCTTTTGGGTAGAAAGAATGACAGCAGAAGGTCTGGCTGAACTCATGGTTCTGTGCCAGTGACCAGGACTATCAGCTTGGTTTCCAATCTGGAGAAAATATATGTGGGATTTATACACAGGTCTTGTATGTGTGTTTGCCTGGATGTTTATTAGTTCAGCTGTTAGTACCTCTTCAAAAAAAGAGGGCATGTATTTTTAAAAAAAAAAAACAAAACAGCTGAAGATGTTTTCAAAGTCATGAGTGTGAAGGGAAGAGGAGCCACTGCACTCGGAGTGTCTGCCTGGAGCCTTCTGGAATTGCAGCCAGAAGTAAAACTTGGCAGAGCTTTGTTCTGCCTCAGTCCTCCCCTTGCTCAGAAGAGCTGATTGATCAGTCCAAGTGTGCTGAAATTGGGGTGAGGGTTTCATTAGCCTTGGATCAGGCCCTCAGAACTGGATACACTGGTTGCTTGAAAATAGGTAATTAATGGTGCTTTATTTTTCATGTTTCCAAGGCAACACAAGCCCCCAGGACATTGTTTTCCAGTCCATGAACAGAAGCTTTTGGCTGCTGCAGAAGTTCCCCTCTGTCTCATCTGAAGCTGCTGTAAAGGTACCAAAGCCATATTTCCTGTCATTATAGTCTATATCCAAAAAGTCATGACAATCAGATGCTGCTGATGAAATGATCTCACTGCAGAACTCATTCAATCAGTGGAGCTCTGCTGTTCAAATAGATAATTAGTGTTGTGACAAGTGTGACTGTAAATGCCTCAGTTTGGTGGCAATGTTAGGAAGTGTGACAAAATTAAATTATTTGTCTGCCTTAAGCATGGCCCTCCTTGGATTGCTAATGAGGGAAATTCTTGTTAAACACATGTCCTTTTCTCATCAACTGCTTTACAGGCCCTCAGCTGGGAAAAAGATTTATTATTTGGATCATAAGGGGCACGAAAGGCTGGACTTTCCCTTGTTTTCTCTGACTTGTTTCTTTTCATGTCTTTAGCTGGTGTAACAGGTCATTGCTTGTGTTCCAGCATAAAATGGAATGATCCCCTAAAATGGAATCATCAGGGAGAGCAATCCCAGTGGACACCTCTCCTGCCTGTCAAAATCCCCTCTTTGGAAGGAATGGGCACAGAGAGTGCAGTCAGGTGCTCCCATCTCAGGGGAACATTTGCAGCACCTTTCCTAGAGGTGACAAAAAATTCAGTCTGTTCTTCCACAAGGGCAGGCAAACCCTCCCTGTGTGCTGCTGGGGGACTCCAATCCTGCACCCTCAGCTGGGAATGGAGAGGGGAAGCAATTCCATGTCCCCTCCTCTCATTCTGCATCCCAGGGAGTGTGGGATTTGGGAGGCTGAGGGCAGCAAGGACCGGGATGCTCCAAAGTTTCTCTTTTCTGACGGGTAATTTAGGATGTCCCGCTGTCCCAGGAGCTGCTTTGAGTTTAAATTATCATGGGCTGAATTAATGAGCATCTTGAAGCTGCACCCTTTCCCATGGCTCCTAACAGGATGCTTTTGATCCTTCCTTCCTTTTTCAGCATCTGCCAATGCCCTGATGTTCCCCCACCCAAAGGGAATTAATGGCTGAGCTGGAATGAAGAGCACAGCACAGAGAGCAGGCATGGCCCAGACCTCACAGCACTAATTATGCCCTTAAAGGGTAAGAAAATAATCTTGGGTAAATTAGGAAGAAAGTGTCTTAGAAATGCTGCATGGGGTTACTGGCACGTCTCCTGTATTTGTGCATTTGAAAGGGGAAAAAAAAAGACTTTCAAAGATACTTCCTGACCTCAAAAAGATCAGCAGGGAGCTCAAGAAAGGAAATTTAATTCCAAGTGAATTTATCAAGTTTTCCTGACCCTTAAGGATGGAAAAAGCAAAGGAAGGATGCACATGAAGGTCCTGCAAAATTCTAATACTGAAACACTCTCATGCACAAACTGTGACGTCTCAAACCCGAGAGTTTAAACCCAAAGCAAGCAAAGAGCAGGGGATGAATTACAACAAGGGCCAGTGCAGACACTGCAGTCTGGCAGTTCAGGTGATGAAGAGGATCCATGAAAGGAAAGGTGAGTGTCAAAAGATCAGAAATTTTGAGGACGGGAACTTGTGATGCACCTCACAAGAGGCAGCACAGAGGATGCCAGCGAGGTGCCCACACCCTCAGCTGACCTTGGGAGAGGTGCCCACACCCTCAGCTGACCTTGGGAAACGCTTCCAAGCCAAAGGTGAGACATTACCAGCACCTCTGACAAGCAGAGCTTTGCTGAGGCTGCTGGAGTAGCTTGGAAAAAGAGGAATTCTTGTCCTCTTTCCAGGCTGTGCCTCCTGCTTCCCAGTGAGACCCAAGCTGTGACCACGCCAGGGAGGCAGCTGGGAGCTGTGGAGATCCCTTTTCCAAGAGGGCATACTGATCTCCAGAGCTGCAGTGAGAGGTGCCCCACATCCCCCATCCCATGGCAGCTCCCACTGTGCAAGCCCCACATTTAAAGTGCCTCTTTTTATCAAGCAGCCTCGCTAAAAACCAGAGCAACACTCACTCAGTTCTATCCCTGCTAAACATATCCCTTTTTATTGCTTTTCAGGAGTTCAAAGCATTAGCATATAAAACAATCCAGGTGGCTGTTTTCCCTAAAAGAGCGAGGGCCTGTTTACAAACTCGTTTTATTTTCACAATCTTCCACTGTTATTTATTTCAGACAGAGAGCTGTCAGATTAATGCACTCCCTCATGCAGGACAGCTTGCTTTATTGCCTGTTATTAAGACATAACATATACAACCTGACAGGCACTGCCCACGTCTGCGTTCCACCACTGAAAGGCAAATTAAGTTGAAAATGGAGATCTCCAATATTTCTTTGGGCTGAAGTGATATTAGTTTTTAACTCATTTTGTATTCATAGAGGATCCTGCATATTTGTAACATATCCAACAATAAGCTGTCCAAAGAAAAAGTTGTGGTTTTTTTTAAATTCTTATTCCAGCTACCTCTGAGAAATTCAGGCTTTAGAATACAGCTCTGCTTTTGGATAGGGAATTGAAAAGAATGCAATTTACAGTAGTGCTTTACTAAGGACTGTGACTGAAATCTATCCTTCTTTCTTACTAGATTTCAAATAATAGTTGTGCCAAAGTGGTGTTGGTTTTGGTGGAAGTACAACTCAGAGTGGAATGGCAGAACTACCTGCCCCACCATCCACAGTTCCTGTCGTATAAGCAATGTTATTCATATTTTTTATTATTATTGATTATTTTTCTTTCTCTTTTTTTTTTTTTCACCCCAGGACTGAATTACTAATTTTGGACAGTCACAGGAGCTGCTCTGGAAATGCTTGCTGGAGGTAGGCTTATCCCTTTCCTTTTCCCTTACTGCCTCTTCACCTTTTCCTCCTGTACATTCCCAATGACAACTTAATTTTGTTCCAGCTCACTGGAGAATCAAGTCAGTTTTATTAATGCAAATAACCATTAACTAAATTAAGATGATATAAGAAACAGAGATCAGTTTAAAGAAGACTTATACGGACACTGGGGGAAGCAGAGCAAGGCAGGTGTGTCCACCTACAACCACCTGAAAGGGAAAACCCCATTTATTCAATACACTTGTGTTGGCATCATTATTAACCCTTATGGCAGTACCTGGCTCAGCTCCCTGTTATGCAGGTGGAATCCACACTTTAAAAGCTTAATCTGTGGTACCAGGGAGAAGGTTTTTTGCTGAAAAGTCTGGGCTTTACAAGAAAATGCAGCTGTGTAGGGAACAGGAAAATGCAGTGGAAAACAGGATGTGCAGCTTAATGCTAAATAGTGATACACTGAATAAATTACTATAAAGAACTAACTCTTCTTCAATGTAATTACACTGGGGGTTTTTTTTCCATTTCAGAGGAGAGGAAACAGCCTAATTGGATATATGGGAAATGAAGCCAGGGAAAGGGAAGTGGCTTTTTGTCCACTCACTGTAAACCTGTGGGCAGAGATGGAACTCAGCAGCTCAAGCACAACCATTTTTAGATGCATTAAATCCCCCAAATGTGCAAATATATAATAGGAACAAGCAATAATACTTTGAAATATTCTATTATCCCTCAATGTAATAAATATTTTATTAGAGCAATAGAAAAAAATGCATACAGATAACCATAGGATACACACACAACTGGAAGTTTTAAGGATAAATTTTGAACTTTTCAATATGAAACAAGGTACCTGGTACATATCTCATGGAGATATATAACTAGAAATTAAATAATACAATGTAATTCCATGAGAATGGCAGTACAGGAACATGGACTAGAATTGTGTGAAACAACAGAGTCACCCTTTGTTGCATGAAACATAACTATATACTTACTAGGAACACCTGTATTTCCATCTCCCACCCACCCCCCCGCCCCTTTGCATGTGTCTGAAAACAACACTGGTTTGCCACATGGAAAAGCAACTAGTCATTTATAGCTCTATATGTACAGTATATACAGCTCTTGCTTACTTCAACAGTTAGCACATAGTGTCAGCTGGAGCTAATCAGGTAATTTGCTATCTGAATGCATATCAAGGTATTTTTTTTCTACAGTGCTACCATAATTTCATTAATCCTGGTTCTCCCTTTGTGGTTCTGTGTGTTGTAATAATACTGTGAAATTAAAAAGAACAGTCCTTAAAAGGATATGCTTTATGTCATGTGAATGTGTGCTGTTACAGGGATGTTGTCAGCTCCCTAAAAGGTGTCTAAAAGGCTGATTTGACTAAATTCACAAATATAGAAGTCAAATAGACCAGGTTTAATGTATCTTTAATATACTGCTATGAAAGCAAGCACATATTTCTCTATAATAGCAAGCCTGAAGTGCTGTTATGTTATTTTTTATTATCTCCTACAGTATTGCCATAAACTTACCAAAATCATGTGATAGTGGTGGGGTGTGTCTGAGAGCCAGACCAGGTGAGATAGTTTTGAATGGGTTAAAGAGCAGCAGGAAGGAGAGTTCTGACTGTAACACTGAATTAAGGATGCTTACAGTGCAGTGTGGTGGATGATAAAAGAGCAAGATAATTTGGGGCTGCATATCTGGAAGCACCACATCTCAAGGCAGGGAGGTGGTGGTCGTCCCTCTCCATAAGGCCATGGTGCAACTGCATTCCAACAGTGCTTCCAACTGGGAACTCCTGTTAGTGGAACACCAACACACAGGGAGGGCAATAAAAATGAGCCTGAAGGTGGGAGAATTTGGTTATGAATGAAGAACCTGGTTAAGAAATATAAGGTGAGGATTTGAGGAAATGAACTTCAAAATGTAAGGATGGAGAGGAAGGGCAGGTGTTTGAAAAGGTGCATAAACATCTGTGATAAAAAAGAGAGGCCTTTTTGAAACACAGCTGTGGGATCATTTCTTAGGAGCAGCAGTGGAGGCCCCTCTTGGACACCCCAGCGTGGACTGTGCAGAACTAACACCCATATTGAGACTTTTCCCTCCCTTCTACCTGGGATTTTTCGCTAGATTTAGAATAACTGACACAAAGGGCACTAGGAAAACTGAGCCAAACCTCCTAGGTTGTGACACTGTCTGAAGAACAGCCACTTGGTCCCTGTGTTATCACCTGATTGACAACACCCATGTCTCTGATTCCATCTTTTCTCTGTAGAAAAGTATTGTAACAATGCAGAACATCCCTAGAACAGTTCAGTGTCGCTGCAAAAATGGAGTTTCTCATTGAGCTAAGCTCTTCCTCTGACCATAGTGCCATTGCTCTCCCTCTCTTTTACACTGTATCTGAAGTATGTAATATGTAAACTCCTTTGGTTCAAGTATTAAGGCATTTCAGATTCCTTTTTAAAGGATTTGCTAAACTTTACATGGTATTTTTACTTCAACTTACAGTGAAATATAAAGAATTTAAAAACACGTCAGGATAGAAGAAAAACATGCATTAACCACTGCAGTTTTTTTTTAAAAAAGCACTTTAGTAACCAATTCTTTTTTTTTTCTTGCAGCAAATGCAAATATATCATTACAACACTGAATTAAGGGTCAAGGAAAATACTGTTGCTAAGAAGCTGGACACACTGAAGATATTCAAGACTGATGGACCAGAACCTCTTGCATCCATACCTGTGACAAATGGAAAAGGTCAGGATTAAATGAAAGCATGACTGTGTGCTGTGCCAAACTATTACCCTTCCCAGACACTAAGCAAAAAATTATTGTGTTTTTTTTTTTTTTTACTTCTTACAAACAGTAGAAATTTACAAAAACACAGTAAATGTTTTTAAACTACAGAAATGCCTTGCAAAATGCTGAAATTGTATGAATGGCTTCAGTGCTCTGGTTTAGCTGACAGAAGGTGGTATTTGGTCAGAGGTTGGGCTCGGTGACCTTGGAGGTCTTTTCCAACCTTAACGATTCTGTGTTTTGATGACTCTACTTTCAAGGTAATAATTTAAAAAAAAAAAAAAAGAGGAGAGAAAGCAAAAAAGTTAACATTTTTAATACTGATTTACATGGTAATTTACCAGTTCAGCAGGATGGAGTTTGTCAAGCATAAGGGCGTGAAGACCGTTAATTGCTTTTCCTTTTATGACCTTATTACCACCCAAAGAATAAATATTAATTCCTTTTTTTTTTTTTTTTTTTGTTCCTGAAAAGACAAAGTTGAAGGGAATCAGCTTGAACTTACTGGCTAGTCTGGGAATGAGGATCTGCTCGCTGCTGGTGCCATCCCCACCCTCGGTGGTGGCCTTCACCTCGATGATATAATCGTCGTTGGACTGGAGCCAGAGCTCGGCCGTCGTCTGCTCCGTGCTCAGCACGTTCACGCTGCTCTGGCTGCTGGTCCTGTACAAAACCTGCAACACAGGCAAAATTCCTCCTCTACGACCTGCCCTGCCAGTTTTAGCTGGGCTTCTCAGAATCCAGCTTTCTTTTCGGGGTGAAAAGATCTGATTTTTTTTTTTTTTTTTGGTTTAATGTTCTTGTGCGGAATTACGTTTTAAGAAAGAAGGTAACGTCAATCAACAGGTTTAATCAGAAATGGCACACTGTAGAATGATAACACATTATTTATTGTTTTGATTACAATTGTTATTATAGGTAATAATATAATTGGTGGTGGGACACTGGAACAAGCTGCAAACATGAATTTCTTGCCAATACAACTCAGATCTTCAGCCTAAATCTTTTAAGTGGGAATATATCATGTGGGATCCAGCTACACAGAGCTTATCAAGAACATCCTCAGCTATTCTTTCACACTTATATGACAAATTTAAATACTTGTACATTTGTGTGCTGATCAGATTTAGAGCAGACGTAATTTCTATCAGGAAAATGAGCAAGACCCACAGTAGGTAAGAAGAAAAAGGGTTTAAAAATATCAGTTTGATACATGTGGTACTATACATACACCTGGCCAGGAAGGGAAGCTGCGTCCACCAGGCTAAATCTTGGATTATATGGTTTCTTCTGAAGTGTTATATATTTAGGTGTTACATATTTTTAGTAGGTGTTACAGATGTGATAAGTGTTCTGCAGGTTCTAAGATCCAAGTGTTACACGTGTGGTAAGTGGGATCCCAAGAGAAGGCACGAGGAGAAGGCATTAGTGTACACTAATGGTAATTAATTAGTGGTAAAAAGGACCGTGGTTATGAGACATTGTTAGAATGTGATTAAAATCTGTAAGAAGGCTGTGACATTGTGCATCCTCTGAACATGCAAATAGGCAAGAAAAAGCCAACTCTGGATTGCTTTCAGCTCTGTTTTCACTGACCTTATACCCAGTCACCTCGGACTCGTTCCCCAGAGCTGTCACCTCCTCCCAGCTCAGGATAACTCTGGAGTCAGTGACATTCCACACGACGTTTCCTGGAGGTTGACTGGGTGCTTCAAATACATAATAAAAGTATGACTTTAATTTAATTGGCATTAGTGATTTATTCAACAGTAGGAAATAGTTCAGGCAATTGACTGTCATTACATTTTGGATGCAAAAGCAACTCAAAGGCAGGTTCCTCGTTTGTACACGTTATGGTTGAGAGGCTAAATTGGAAAAACAGAAGGAAGGAAGAAACAGAATGCCACATAAATGTTATTTCTGAAGCTGAATTATCTGTTGATTGTCCTTCATTAAATGCAGCCAGATAGAAGCATGTGTCTTAGGACGTGGGTGATCAATTAGAACAAACTCTGAGGAAAACAATGGTGGCAACAGAAAATTTACAGTTTTAGTGCAGTGCCAAGAACAAGAAAATTCTTCACAAGATATTGTTAGATAAATTTGGTCTTACTGACTATTCAAATCTACACACTACCTTGACTCACTTTAACGTTTGTAATGTAGAAATGCGTCACAGGGTTATTTTTTTTATTCTCTTAACTCAAGATTCTGACCTGCAGAATGTCTGAGCTGAACAACAGTGGGCTTTGGCCAAGGCAATCTACTAACTTTTTGTTCATTAGCAACCTGAGCCTGTTATTTCCAAAGGAGCTGCATCCTTTGGGCTGTGCTTTCCTGTATCTTGGAACTGCCAAGCTCTCAGGGCAGGCAGAGGAAGAACAAACCTCTTACGATACCCCAGGTTGGTCTCCCAGAAAATGGGCCACACAGTGACACAATCAATGATTAAAATCTTTTCTAAATGTGTCAAGGAAAACAACTTACTGTTGCTGTCACCTAGTGGAGGCAACTGCTGCTTAGGTGGACTTGGCTGTGCTTTGATGCTGGAGGTTAAAGTACCAAGCACTAATAGTGGTTTTGAACACTTGTATCCATGTACTTATGGTTTTTTTTTTCCTTCCTTTTTTCTCCTCATTTCAGTTCCTTCCCACAGGTATCTCCCTACCTTCTTTCCATGAGCAGTCAGATCAAAACTCATCTGATTATACTTCAAAAATAGACACAAAAATGTAAGAGCGAGACTTAAAGAAATTATTCTGAAGTCAAACAACCACTCACAGGTATTTTTTGCAGCATTT